CGTAAAATCTAAAAATAATAATTTAAAGATTTATAAACCTTTCTAAAAATTTATAAAATATATAATATATAATTATAAAATTAATGGAAAACTTAGAAACTTCAGGAAGAGATCATGTAGTAAGTAAAAAAATATGAAAGCTCAGGTTTTTTGTGCAAATAAATGAGGTAAATCTGATTTATATTTTATTTCATTTTCATCTAGTCTATCTGATAGTTCCTTTATATATAATTTAACCACAAATATAACCAAAAATAATAACCAAATACAGCTTTAAGTACCACGATTTTGACCCAAACCATTTTTGAGATGGTTTACACCGTTCTGTCTCATAGTGCGGCGGCACGTTCGAAATGATTTAAAGAAATATCAGTTATGGATACATATTATCTCTCATCATAGTCAAAAAAAAAATATGTTATTTTACTGATGTCATAGTAGAGACATCTTAATAGGATTTGTTTTTATTCTAGAAAAAGCTTTTGTTACAGAACTATATAAGATACGATTGAACTTTGACTCTATAAAAGGGGCACAGAATGAGCCAGACGGCAGTTTAGTAGTGAAACTCAAAAAGGAAAGAACTAGAAATTAAAGAAAAGGAAAACTGAAGTGAAGAAAAGAAAAAGTGGAAGTAAGAAGAGTAACTGTAGGACCAGTACGACAAGAAGACAATAAAGTGAAGATCTATCACAATTTCTGCAATCTCTAAAAAGTAAAGTAAAGTAACAGCCTATACATGTCCCACTGCTGGGCAAAGGCCTCCTCTATACAGAGGGTATTAGGGCATAGTCCACCACGCGGCCCCACTGCGGATTGGCGGACTTCACATATTTTCGAAATATAATTTTTTTTGTTATTATTTCGAAAATGTGCAGGTTTCCTCACGATGTTTTCCTTCACCGCGGAGCACGTGATAAGTCAGCACTTAAAGTTAAAAACTTCATTGGTGCCGGCACCGGGGATCGAACTCAGGTTGCTCGAGTATATTGAATTAAAGGCGAGCGCCCGGACACTGAGCTATCACGGCTCTAGCTCGTAACATATGGTGTCATCGAACCCCACTTCCAACATTAGCCGGTCATTCCGAGAGAACCGACAGAAGGTGTCACACTGAAGTTGCCTAACCTATGGTGTTGCTATTGTCCGTCCCGCCCACGCATAGGGGGAGCGAGGGGGGGGACGGCGAGACCGACGCGAACACTTAATACCGTCTATATAGCCGTTGCTATGGTGACAGTTTACTGTTGTCATAGCAAACGCTGACGCAATTAGCGCGTGTGTAAACAGTGACTGCCAGTTGTAGACAATTAACATTACATGATTAATTTATTAATTATGTAGTGTTGAATGTAAACAAAGGGCGGTCCATTTACATATGCACTAAGGGCGATTGTATGCTATCAAGTGAGATGACGTAGTGTAAATTCACGCGTCACAGCCATAGTGTCCGAGCCGAGTTAGGCGAAAACATTTCCCGGGGGGACGGTGCGCCCCTCGAGACAATGCCCGGGGCATGGGGTTCGAGTCCCCGATACCCGTACCCGCACCTACCCGACTGTTGGGGCAGTGTGTGGATGACCCGTGTGTGTGCCTAACCTATGTGGATTATATGTATATCCGACACGAGACACTTAATTTTCTCTGGAAATCTTTATGGTTTATATCACTGGTCAATAACAATAAAAAAAAATGTTTATCGGAAAAGTAATTTTTGATTACTTTTGACGATTTGATTATCATAAAACTTCAGTAGACTTCCACCATGGCACACTCATAGCAAAATTGACTAAATCATAAATTTATTGCTCAAATTAAATTATCATGTTTGATTATTTTATTCCCCGCGGGAAACCTGCATTGTCAGGACAAAACATCAGTACGTAACAATGCTTAATTAAAATTTAATCATAAATCAGATAAATGCTTCATACTGCATAACTGAAAGATGAGTAATTTTAAATAGATACAATAATATTGATAATAATGACCCTGCACTGACCCCCAAGAATGACCTGTTATTAACGATTAACAACGTTTTTCTTAAATAAACATAATTTTCGTATATGGATAAGGACCACAGAGAAATGGTAGAGTTATACCTAATTGTTTGCACATTATATGTTCTAGTAATAAAATAGAATAATATACATTACTTGATAACTGTTCATTAAAATAAGTTTACAGTTATTAGTCGCATTAAAAATGTATATGGTAGGTGCACACCAGGAAACAGTATTACACCATTTTCAACTTCACATCAAAATATTAATCTTCTTTCGAAATTCCTGTTTTTTTACGTTCGGTAGCACTGTTGTTATATCAATCATTTCATTCAAATATAAGCGACAAACACGCTATCAACGTCAGTAAAAACATAGGATTCGAAACAAAAATCGTTCAATTCCTTGTTGGCGGCTATATTAGTAACCTACACGTCGACGGTATGTTTTTTAAATCTTTGTTTGTTTGGTTTGTTTTGGTTCAATATGGTATTTTAAATTTCTCATACATAAAAACATACACCTAATAAATCTACCCAACCAGGATTAAGTAAAATATAACTTGAACCATAACTAATGTAAACCAGCGACAAATTAATTAAAATATTTAATGCACAAAAAATTATGTAAACGTTATAATCGATATGAGTCTCCATAATAATAGCATGTACGCTGTATGTAAATATTGCCTGATGACATGATTGAAGTCAACTATTTTAAAGGTAACGTTTCTCTATAGATTAAAATAATTTGTAAATTTTTATCTTTAATTGGCATATTGTATGAAATCACCACATTTCTCATTATGGTTATCTTTATAATTCAACCCGCATGTTGATATTATGTTGAACTTAGTTATTTGTGATAGTTCGTATGATTTTATTTTTATATATTTAAGTAATGTATAACGATTACCCCAACGTGTGTATGAATATGTAATATTCCGAACACGCAATTCGCATTGAAATTTCGATGCCACAATATTGAGCCTCAGACGTATGACTCGCAGTAGAACGTGTTTTATTAAAAAAAGGGCGGACGTGTTGGAGTTACATGCGTTTTACGCCTACTTCAGAACGATAAGAATTGACGTGTTTGAATGTAAGCCGTACATTACATTAAACTTTTACATGTAGCACTATTTAAGGTCGATGTTCAGCATGCTGTCTCTATACAGTATTAATTTACATCATTCATATTATTCAACAAATATGTCAATTAATACCTGAAGCTGAATGGATAATTTATGTTTCAATCAGTTGTACGACTTAATAAAAAAAATAATTAAGGATGAAAGTGCTGACCGTAAGGACAAAAATATTTATAAAAATTAAGATATCTTCCATCTATTATGATATTCACATACTATAAAGGTTCTTTGTGCATGAACAAGCACAAGATGGCCTCAGCGAAATAAAAATAATTTTGGATGAGGATCTCTTACTCTGTGTTACGAACCACTATCTATAAAAGCAGCTCAATTTATATCAGAGCAGAAACAATAAATAAATTTGTAGTTTTTACAGCTGCAACTCAAACGTGCGACATTGCCGACTTCATCGAACTGATTGAGAGTTTTTATTGTAACGTACTCAAAGGATAAAACGAGACCCTGTTACTAAGACTCCGCTGTCTGTCTGTTTGTCTATCTGTCTATCTGTCTGTCTGTCTGTCTGTCTGTCTGTCTGTCTGTCTGTCTGTCTGTCTGTCTGTCTGTCTGTCTGTCTGTCTGTCTGTCTGTCTGTCTGTCTGTCTGTCTGTCTGTCTGTCTGTCTGTCTGTCTGTATGTCCGTCTGTCTCTCTGCCTGTCTGTCTGTCTGTCAGTCACCAGGCTGTCTCATGAACCGTGATAATTAGACAGTTGAAATTTTAACAGATTATGAATTTCAGCTGCCGCTATAACAACAAATACCTAAAAATAGAATAAAAAAGTATTAAAGTTGTGTTCCCCTCAGAGCCGGATTTAGGGGAGAACAACCGGGGTTACTGCCCCGGGCCTCCACAAAATAGGGGCCTCCACAATAGAGACTTTGTAAAAATAAATTAAATTCGGACAGTAAACACTAGTAAACAACTTTACCTTTCATATTTTTAGCGTTTTACCTTTACCCACAGCACTTTGTACAAACATGATTACATTAAATATTCACAGAAATCAATGGAAAATAATTTGGGCCCAAGGGGCCTCCACTTCTTTGTTGCCCCGAGGCCTCCTGACCTCTAAATCCTGCCCTGGCTCCCCTTCGGAACGTTTCTTGTGCGAGTCCGGTTTTTTCGTTTCAGCTGCAACAATATGAATTAGTGCATGCCGGCATTGTTTATTTATGCTTTATTGATAACCTTGAGAAAAAATGTAAAAAAGGGCGAACTTAGTGCCCAGAGGTATTTTCTACCTGGGAAAATTAATGTTAACGTATAAATATTTCAAATTATGCAATGATATTTTATTTGCGTAAGAGATTATTGTAGCGTATTGTAGCAGATACTTTCTAAATATGAGGTAAGTTCAACTTTGTAAAAATAAAACAAGACTTTTACAATACAATTTAAATTTAATGTAGTACAATTAACATTTTATGCACTCCTAATTACGTTAATATATTAATAAATTACTTTAGTTTCTATGATGTTGATTTTTATATGAATGGATAATGGAATTTTTTTATTAAATACTTGATATATACCATATTATGTTGTTCTTTTTGGTTTCATTTAATAGGGTGATTTTTGATTTAATAAATATGAGTTTGATGTCTCTACGTATGATGGTTTTATCCCTCAATAAATAAAATAATATAATAACTTATTTTTGTTTTTTTTTTAGTTAATTTTTACCTAAATAATGAAAACATAAAAAAATCAAAAACAATTTGTCTATACTTTTCTCCGCGAATACCAATGATTAATGCCAATATAATCTTAAATTGGAGGAAGAAAAACATTTTTTTAAGAAATGGACAAAAGAATTTTGTCTTTACATTAATGCAACTTTTTTTAATCATGGACTCTTTTATAAGAAACGTCTTGCTGTACTAAATCTTCCGGTTTTGGCTTAGGCACGTAAGGATTCTTCAAAGGATCTGCGTTTAATCTGAAACATAGAGAGATCAATTTATTTCATTTCTGTTACTTATCATCGCCTGCTTTACCGTTGTATAAAAAAGCAATTTATTATGAATAAACTTCTTAGCGAAACTTAATAAAATTGAATATTATATTATGTACTTGATACATAACATGACATTTTCAATTTAGAGAGCCGTGGCACTCGAGTTTAAATTCCGGTGCCAGCACTAAACTTTAGATAACAATAGAAAATTAGAACTTGAACTACTTTACGTAAATATTTATTATTTGTTTGGTGGCCAGGGAAAAAATATAATTAAACCTGCGTTTCTTAGAAATATTTCTATAATAGGTCAAAATTAATTCGTGGTAGTTGCGTGGCTCACTATCTCTTTGATATTAGAAAATTTTTATTGAAAAAGTATAAGATGTTACGCACTTGTAATGTTCAATTGCTTGAGAGCAATCCACGTTGTACCACCAGTCGCAAGCAAATTTTGCCTGATCAAATAGTGTGCCGTTGGTACACAAGAAAGCTGCACCTTGACGTCCTTCACGACCATCATGGCATACGTGGTAGGCCTAGAAACATTTAATGTTTAATTACATACAGAAATCGTTTAAGGTTAAGTTTCTCTGCAACGAAAACATGAAACTTCTAATTTTTTTTTGTATAACTGATGTTACGCTTTCAGTCCTTAGACTATTAAAGGTTTATCGAACGCAGAAACAGTGAACTAGCCAGAACCCTCGCTTATTGACATTCGAGAATCGAGATCGAATCGAATCGAGAAAGTAATAGCGTGACGGCCCGAGCCGAGGTTCCCCAGGGAGCCCTCGAGCTTAGTCACCATAACGCGTAATAATAATACGCCGAGGTTCAGGCTAGGCGTCCCGTGCGCCAGGCCGCCTCAAGCCCGACGGAACTGTAAAAGCCCCTAAGGCCAACAGTGGCTCATCCAGCCCAAAAAAAAAAAAGCACGCGTAGGACATAATAGGTTTTAAGCAGGCATTGGTTAGGTGATAGAGCCGGCCGGAGACGAACGCAGCTTTATTTCTAATTTCTTTAATATGCGATGTGGACGTCATTCGTGAATCAAAAGTGACTCCTAGATATTTGACCTTTTTCTCCCAAGGGAGTGGTTGGCCATAAAGAGATATTTACCCTAGCTTTCTGCATTGGCGAGGACCTTTATAAAGATGTGATGTGTAAGTACTTCGTGTGAAGTGAATCGCCACACTCTTTTCGGGATTTATTTCTATTCTCCATTTGCGGAACCAATTGCCGAGGCGGTCGGCAGTGCTTTGGAGACGAGTAGTGAGTAGGAGCGCAGTGTCATCAGCGAAAAGCGCGAGATTGACGTGCGGATCTCTTGGTATGTTGCTCGTGTAGAGAGTAAAATGCAAAGGGGGAGTTAATATTTTACTACACTCATTTTTAAAGAATACAAGTCCCCTATTCAAGAGTTTTTATAATAAGAATGATAACAGAGATAAATAATTTTGCATGTATTCGTACCGAAGTTCGTTTAATGGTTTGCATTCAATAAAAAAATATTTCTTTGAAAATCTTTCTTAGAAAGAACCAATTTTTTTACTGTTATTACCACAATTTGTCTTTATGAACAAATAGTTTTTGGAATTTGAGAGAGATGTGCGATTTCTAAATTGTATTTATTTCTGTGTCTATTCGTTATTTAAATAATTCTTTTTTACTGGCTAGGTGAAGTTAAAGTTAGTCCATAATTTACTAAAAGCTTCAATTAACAGTAACTGGCATAATGATTACAGTATCCGGGCAATTACAATTTTCTAGCTCAATTGTAATTAGTATTTTATAGATAAGTAAGTGCAGTTTTAATTGTATAAGGGAAGAATATAATTCAACTTGAAATACGTATTGAATCAAAAAAACAATACTGAAATAGCATGCTTGACGTCGTGAAAAAAGATTAGGGATTCATGAATAGTTAATTAAAACTATTTAGATTGTTTTATAATAAATAAAAAGAATTGGATTGATTATCAACCTCAAATAAAATATTTTTATTGTTTTGATGTATTGTTTTTCTGAGACTCGTTTGGTAAATATTATCGATTCCGTTATAATGTTGGTTTAAATTTGGGTAGAAGTATGCTTTTATTACTCTAATAACAATGTGATTCTAAAGCAAATTGCTCAGTGAAATGTTAGATTAGTAAATTAACAAATTTTATATAATAATGCCCTCCAAATTGCAATTTAAGATTATCGAGCTGTAATAAACCGTAAGTAAGTCGCGCCTCAGGTGAAATGACTCAAAGTTATTCAATTTGAAGTTATTCATGGCCCATAGAAATAAAGCAGCTTGAGGATTTTCCATTAAAATAATTATTTCTTAACAAATAAAGGCTTAAATTTAGTTAAAATTGCTTTGTATATGTATTAATATAAATTAATTATCGATGTTTAAAATAATGAAACTGCAAGGTTCCTTGAATAAATGTTAATAAATATAAATAATTTTTACACAACGTTCTAAAGTTCCAAACTAAACAACGCTTGTACTATTGGTACTAGATAACTGATAAATATACTTATCTTTTATAAATAAATACATATTATACAAATATAAATACCCAGACATTAGAAAAACACTATGTTCATCACACAATATTTTTCCAATAGTGGGGAACGAACCCACACCCTCTGGTGCAGGAGGCAGGTACATACTAAGTCATTATGGTTGTTTTTATTAAATTTGCACAACCATGACACGGTAACGCAGTTTATGAGCTCCAGTGTGTGAGGGTTCTAAACGGGACACGTATTTGTGTGACTATAACTATTAAACACACGATTCACGTGTAGTGCCGTAACCGCCAGTAATAGAACAAAGTAAATAAAAATATCCACAGGCGTACTGACGTGATGGAGTGTTCTGTCCAAATCAATATCTAGTATATTATTGCTTTTGTTTTATATTAAAATTTAAAAAAAATAAACACTTTATTACCTGGCAACCCGTTTCAACGTTTGCATACATCCCAGGGTGTACAGGAACATGTGAGCAAGAGAAACTGGTTTCGGGCACTTCGTGGTAAATAGGATAGTCCACACCCGGAACTCCAGGTACATTTCGAAGGTCTTGGGGCTTTTCGTGCTCCCTCAAAGGCTTACGATAGACAGCTTGCTCATATTGCACAGGGTATGTCTCATAATTCTGCAAAAATAACGTAGATAAATAATCAAATTAATTATTTTGCCTGCATAGACTAGTAAAATCGTTATAGCAGGTAATTGTAATCGGCATTAATTCTCTCATCAATACAGACGAATGGCAACAGCTAGTTTGACAGTTTCGACACATGGAATTACAAGTAATATTTCTTGGCGATGCTATCTTGTAACGAACTCGGTTAAATAATCGTTTTTTTATGTGTAATAAGTGGTTACGATTAATATGTTTCAACGAAAAAACTGTATATAAATAGCTTATGATTTGTTTTTTTTGTGGTGCAAATTGCAGATAGTGCAAATTGGAATTCTGTTAAAATTTTGAGATTGCAGTTCTAGGCTCTAGCTATCGCATCGAAATAGTATGTTGGTATGTATGTATATATTCAATCAGGTCTGTATTAAGTTCACTGCTTTGTGATCATTACAAGCATCTAACCATTCTACTAGTTGACAAGAGCTAACTAGGGGTAATTGTGTAAGTTGTGGCCAAGCTTCGCTCGGTTCTACTTTCCCACTTTCCTTTGAGATAAGACCACGTAATGAACTCATTACCGTTACACAGATTATGATGAGGTAAAATTCGTATTATTTTACCTTAAGACTAATGCATAAATGGGATTTATGTGTATAAGTGCATGAAAATATGTATGTTATTTAAACAATTTTTAAACGACATGATGTTGTCATACTGCAACTTAAAATGATTTTTATTTTTCTCAGTTTAGTGCCAAGATTACATATGATTACCGATACCGAAGTTTTTGTGTTTATAATACACTGTAAGTTAATTATGAATATTTAAAATCAATACAATGCAATAAAAATCAACAATATTGCGGGATAACTGCCGTAATATTTGAAAAATAATATGCAAGTGTTGCGATCTGTAAACAGAAATTGATTTTGTTTAAGTAAATTACATCATGTTTTACTCGGGAATAATATAACTGTACAAAAATCTTACAATCGGTTTTGTTGTTTCTAATAAGGCTCATTAGGTACAAACAATTTTTATTTTTAATGTGAGAAAGTGGCAAACGAGCTGGCGGTTCACCTGATGTTAAGTGATACCCGCCGCCCAAGGACATTTACAACACCCGTATGGTTGCAGATGTGTTGCCACCCTTTAATAAAGTAGGCCCCGGCTACCTCACTCACCAGACGAAACGCAGAAGTGTAAAACTTCTACTTGACGGTACCGGTCTTCTGCGAGGTCGTGGTACTAACCCGGACGGACCTGCCCATTCGTGCAACAAGAAACCTGCATATTTTCGAAATTATGTGAAGTCCGCCAATCCGCAGTGGGGTCGCGTGGTGGACTATGCCCTGATACAAAATTATGTTCTGTAAAATAAGCGTCTCGTATGCTATAGCTCTGTGATTTCCGATCATTTGCTCTGCGGTTAGCTCACTTGATTTAATTACAAAAAAAATAATTGTAAAATAAAACAAAATTAAATAAAAGGGGGTGGTTCGGGTACAAAAAGATTTTTAAATATGTGTAATGTGTTAGCTGTTGCCAACTACTTACTCTTCGTCTATTCGGAAATAGGAACCCAATTTACATGCAAGCTGAGTTAATACCAAATTACAACTACACATTTTCTGTAGTAATGAAAAATTTAGCTTAAAGCTCAATCAAACAGACGTATAAACATTATTACCTATATTCTTGAATATTATATGAACTGAAATAAAATTTAACATATCTATACTATTATATAAAGAGGAAAGTTTGATTGTTTGTATGTATTGAATAGGCTCCGAAACTACTGAACCGATTTAAAAAAATCTTTTACTGTTGAGAAGCTACATTATCCATGCTTGATATAGGCTATATTATATTTTCAAAAAATTAGGGATCCTTACTAAAACTCCAATAATGTTACTCAAGGTGTACAAAAATTACCTAGAATATTTTTTTTATTTTATGCGGAAAGTTGTCAAACGAGCACATGGTTCACCTGATGTTAAGTGAATACCGCCGCCCATGGACATCTGCTACACCCGTGGGTTACAGATGCGTTGACAACCTTTTGAAAATTGGGCTCCGGCTACCTCACTCACCAGACGAAACGCGAAAGTATTTGTCATACTTCCACTTTACGCTGGTCTTCTGTAAGGTCGTGGTACTTACCCGGACGGGCCTGCGCATCCGTGCAACAGCCGAGGCTGCTGCGTGGCCCTACCACCGTTAAAGTAGAATATTCTTTACATCGTGTGCGCTGCGAAAACTATTGATGATAGAATAAAATAATGTACTACGACTTTGCAGAACACATTATTATTTACAAAAAGTGTCGCGACAGCATATGTCTAACTATTATAGTTATGCCAAAAGAGTTCTTTTATTTTAAAATTTTGATTAAAATGCCGCCGCTAGAAAAGGCTCTTTATTTGTATCTTGGTATTAATCTTTATAAAAATAAATTACTTCTTATTTAAGACAGTTTCAATATCTTTATATAACTTTTTGAATTATCAAATTCGGACATTCCATTCGAAAGATATCACAAATTTAAAAATGTCAGTATATTGTTAATTGTTAAAATTATTTAACTATTCAAACAGCTTAGTGACTGACTTAGTACTTCTTATAATTCTTCAATCACACTTTTAGTGGTTCATTTTAAAATGACCAAGATCAAGATCTCATCTTTCTAGAAAAAGTTCCCAAGCGAGGGCATCAAAAATACGTCGTAATGTAGAATCTTTACCGGAAACTGAAAATCGTCTTACAAGTTGGAGAGAGTCAAGTAGAGTGTTTGCAGTGGCTTGAAGGGCAAAATAATATAAATATACAAATTCACACTTGGGAATCGAGCTCTGAGCGTTTCCAACGCCTAGAGAGAAAGACAACAAATGTCAACGACTAGAGTTCGTAATCCGGTTACCTCTCTCACCAGACGAAACGTAGAAGTATAACACTTATATTTTTCGCTGCTCTTCTGTGAGGTCGGTACGGAACCCTTCGTGTGCGAGTCCGGCTCGCACTTGGCCGGTTTTTATTCAATACATTGTCGATATGTCCGATTATATATATATATATATAATCGGAATCTCGGAATCGGCTCCAGCCATTTTCATGAAATTTAGTATGTGCGTAGATTCGGGGGCGAAAAATCGATCTAGCTAGGTTTCATTTTTAGGAAATTTCCTTTTATTCCTGTTTTCAGGGAATGAAAAATATCATTCGAATATGACAGTAAATTTCGCCGCAAAATTAAATGATATAATAGCTCGGTCGGTAATCGGGCGGCCCCAAAACAGACGGCCGTGGTTCGTATCACGATCATTTACACACTTATTTTTTTTACTTTTCCTCCAGTTACTTTTATTTAAAGATGAAGAAATTCATAAAATTATTCACCAAAGACGAAATATTCGGAAGGTTTTATGTGTGTGTACGATAACTTTTAATTTTAAAATTTTGTTAAATACCAGTGTGAAGCCGGGAAGGGCCGCTAGTAAACAATATTTTTAATCAGCTTTTTAATAATTTTTTTATTAGATAATTGGTTTTTTAGTTTACTAAGTGTTTTCTCAGTGCGTGGTGGTTCTTACCATCCTACATAATATTTAGGATAGTAAGAAACGCCGTGCATGATTTTGTTTCTTTTATTATGTTTCAAATGTGTCGACTTTAATTTGAGAACCATCTGTGTTCTGATAGGTCTAAATTTACACTCTAAATCGATGCGGTAAGACACTTTACTATTATATTTTTTGAAGTAAAAAACTAATATTCATACACTTTTTATATATATCAAATAAAGGCTTAATTTTTAAGTAAGCGTGTGTCAATTACTTCTTTGGTTAACATTTATAGCTTTGGAGATCATTTACGAATTTGTATATGTAATGAAATGGAAGCAACCAACGATTTATCTGAGTTTCAAACATAATTTCGTAAATGTGTACAAATCGTAACCCAGATTTATGAGCTGGATACTTAAAAGCCGTTACTATGGTAGGCATTTTGAGTGCACGGGTGAGAGGGGGCAACGTTCGCCTTGTCACGGCCGCCCGGCGGTTGCGCAGTTACTCGAAAGTTCTGTGCAGATAATGAGAGTATGGGTATTTCTTAATCGTAAGATTAGATGGTAGAATGTAATCTGGTATTAGGCAATTTTTACTGTTGAACCATGGGCTAAACTTGATTAAAATGATGATAGAATACCGGCGTGAAGCAAAAGTGTTACACTTCTGCGTCTCGTGATTAGGGCCCACTTTACTAAAATGTGAGAACACACCCTACCGGTGTTGCAAATATCCATGGGTGGCGGCTATCACTTATAATCGAGTGAACCACCAGGTCTCTAGCCACCTTATCATTATAAAAAAAAGAAAAATCCAATATCTAATGTTCAACAATACAGCATTGGTAAGTAGGTTCCTTTTAGTATCTCGAATTTGCGATTGAACTTAGAGGGTTATCCGGTTTTTCTGTGATAAAAATTACTGCCTTACCCTGGTTCTTGGTGTAGGTGGCATAGTTCACCATCTGTCACATTTAGGACTTAATGAGCTCGGTAGAAAATCAACCCTGTCAACTCGTTTAACTCGCTAAGTTTAAAAGATTGCAAAAATGTTTGCGTAGAAATACTGCACTGAACGCCCTTTAATTCTGGTATCACTATAAAATTTTCAGATATTATGTTAATATTAAAGTTTAGAAGTACTTTTATTTTATTTTGAAATTCTAAATAAAATATTTACTAATTTTAATGTATTGTACAAGGAGATAAGTTGCAATCAAACAATACATTCGTATTTCAAAAAATTAAAAATATCCCCAAAGGTTGCAAAGCTAGATGTCGCACATGAAAACTACAACGCTTAATCTCTGAAAAAATTATGACTTCAAGTTGCCGAAGTTCTGACATAATTGGCGTTTAGGACGGAGTTATTACAATGAAAGAGAGAGCCATTTGCGACCTTAAAATATCTAGTAGCATTAACTCGCTCCCTCATAAGGGAACACTAACTTTTGCAATTTTCCTTCCTTCAAGTTTCCCTTGAGCCCTTCAAAGGCGAATTACTGTTGGTTAAATTTACTTTCATTTTCGCCGGCTGGCGAGGTCTGGTTTTTAGTTTTATTTCTTTGATCAACGCTTCTAAAGTGGAAATTGTTTGAAACTCCGTCGTGGCGCCAAATTGGTATTCTGTAGTAATCTCGCAAATTCGCACCTTGGACGAGATGTTTCTTTTTTCAACGAGACTTTTTCTTGTCTATATTGAGTGCGTCGTTTGATCTCTCGACGGGAGTTTTCATTCTGCCTACGTCTATCTTTATGGCAGCTACTTACGTACATTTGCATAAAGTATCTTCAAAATTGTCCTTTTAATTTTCATATTTATGCAAAGTTCACTTCCTAAGCATGAAATTTTAAATAAATGCGTGCCTTAAATTATTAACATTTTAACACTATTTAAAAAATACTTTACTATTCATAAGAAACCATGTAGGTTTTGAAGTAATAATTGAGTGATAGTTTTTATTATCATTAAAAACTTAATGATTGATTAAGAACGCTGTAGTTAAATATCGCCCTATTTTCAAAGTAACAAAATGGATTTATACCTGCAGTTTCTTCTTTTTTAGTGAAAAAATTTTGTAGCTAAAGTTTGTACTACATAAATTATTAAAAATAGACCAATCAAATGTTAACTTTCTGTGACTTTAAAAAAAATTATCTAGCGATTATTTGAGAATTTATGATCGTGATCTGATATACGAAAATTTTACAACATACAAGTAAATAAATAGTCATCCGTATTAGCAATATTAGATATAAACTATTAGATAACCTTTATCTGAAGCAAAACTTGTATTATTATTCTATGTTGTTCTTACAGAGAAAATAGTTGGCAAAATTTTGGAAGCACGTGGCATGATGAAAAGAAATTTTAGAAATTGCACTCATACTCATCGAAAGAATTTTTAGCGCAAGCGAAAAGATAAGAAGGGTCGTTGTGTTATCGAAATGAGAAAACGCCCTACGTTAAACAAAAATGGTTTTCTTTGTTGCTCATTCTGTCCCTGGTACTTTCAAGATATATTTGATCAGGATATTGTATTGTATTCTATGGTAAGTATATACAATATTCTCTATTGGATTGTACATCAGCAGCACTTCCATGACAGTAGATTATGGTAAAAAGTTCAAACAGTAAAAATTACAAAACAACAATTTCGCCCCAGTGAATCTTACGCATAATTATAAATTTATAGTTATAGATTACTAATCTGAAAAATTTTAATGACCGACTGTCTAGGAATTTAATTGTTCAGCTAACGTATCGTAAAATAATGCTTTTAAATGTTTTTAATTATTTCAACATTAATAGCAACAACTTTTATTAGATAGCTTACTTGTAAATAAGCGGCATCAGACACAAGACCACAGAGTAATGCACCCGTCAGTGCTCTCAAAACGGCCTTCCCCATTTCCCCGCACATCTTGGTTTTAGTTCTTCTTTACCGCTCGAATGAAACACTACACTGCGCTCGACGCTAAGTGATACTGTGCAGAGCCAGTACGAATAACTCCCCACTAATATGATCTACACTTATTTTGGTGGTAGGGAAAAGTAAGCCGAAGTGGTAAAAGGGTAGAGTTATTAAATTGGTGTGATTGACACATTGCGTGTTTGCATATTGCTCGGAGAATATTTGTATTTAATAACATTGCAAGATTAATATTACAGACATATTCGTGTATTTTCAAAACAAAAAAAAATAGTTTACTAAAATTATCATGGCCATATTTAACTATTAAAACTTAATGTTAATATGCTGCGTTAATTTTGTCTCAGCATTCATTTTGTTTTGAACTTACCAAGGCTAAAAGTAGATTTCAATATTATGTTTGTGAAGATGAATCATATTAACTAACTCTGTAAATTTTTCTAAATGTGAAAGGCCTTATTTAAAAAGGAGAGGAGAAGAAAAAGGGAGGGTGCGGGTCACAATCAAAATTTGGTATAAATTATTGTTTACCCTGGCAAAGGATTAAAAAATTCAGCGATCATCTATTAATAAATATAAAACTGCGATACGGTATTGCAACATATATTACGCAGCTACGCGATTACATTGTTAATTAATTATGAAGCGCTTTCTGTTTTCACGGCTTGTTAGCTGCGGTTGTTGTATCTAGCCGGGGGGATATCCACGTACATTTATGAGCAAGTGCATCCGTAACGGACTTCGAAAGTCTGTTTTAGCGGGGTATAAATAGGCAGCCCTATAGTTACCGTTGCAGTAAAGGAAAATTATATGGTTTGAATTAAAAGTAAAGAACGCTAGGTAAAAAGTAACGGCCTGTATACCAACGCTGGGCAAAGGCCTTCACTGTACAAAGTGTATTAGGGCATACTCCGCCGTCGAGTCTTTTAAAACATTTTTAATGTTTTAAAAGACTCGTAGTAGAAGAACACAGCAGTACACTTCTAGTGTACTGCTGTGTTCTTCTACTACGTATATATGAAATATACAATGGAAATAAAGGCGTTACAAGTGATATGCCACATAGTTTAGTAGTTAGTTGAAATCAAATTCAAAATATTCGGATATCTGAAAATTAAAATGAAAAATACCTTTTTACATAGATTATTTGTTGTGTACATAAGCCATGTGGTTTCAGTAATAAAATAAAATCAATTTATATGCATTGACTGATTTTATTTCAGATTACCACCAAACCAAACAGTATTAATAAAATGTAAAGGATTTACAAATTTCTTTTAAGCTGACGTGTTATACTTAACGGTGACCACACGGTGGCTACTAAAGATGTAAGATGATTATCTTAAAAATTAAAACAAAACAAGTCGATAAGTTTTGGGTATACACATTACAATTAGATATAAATATTATAATATTATAAAAATATAACAAAACTTGATTTTGTACAATAACAAAATTTAATATGAATTAATGTTGAAAGTATAATTATTCAAATGGGTAAATTAAATAAGGAACTCTGCTTATCTAAGACATGCTTTAAATATATTATATAAACTTAATACTTAACAGATAAGTGTGAAAGACCTCAGAAACAGATCAACTAGATCGTTGTGAAATTGCATGTAACGTGCGGGTAAGTCATTCAACTAATCTGTTCTTAATAATACAGACATTGGAAAATTAAGTTAACATTTTGTGCAAACCCAAATGTCACTTTTATACAAAATAGTTTAAATTTTAATGTTATGAATGGTACTTGGTTTTTTTTATCTAAGTATGTATATTTATCTTTTCTGCGGCAGAATTAAAATGAACCCTTTTTAAATGTTTGCTTCATACTTATATAATTTAAATATTAAAGTAGCATCAAATTGCCAATAACAGCACCTGTTCGTAAAATAGCTTGTTAGTTGCATAATTTATCGGTCAATGATACCTAAACATTTATATAATAATTTATGAAACTTATTTTTATTCGCACTTTATTTGGCATTCAATTTATTTGGCACTCATTGTAACTTTAAGTAACTAAACTTATAACTTTGTCCCAGAGTAAATTACGCAACGTAACTTTACTTTCGGCGTTGTCACTTGTTAAGTTTGGCACATTCAGATCGCGAAATTGAGCGTTGGGTAACGAAACAATTTATTGAATTGCGGTTTCCTTGTTAAGGAACGCCTATGTAGGTACAGTAACGGGTTAAAACCATAACAGTTTACGAATAGTCAGTGCGAATGAAACAGTTGCAATAATATGTTAAATGATATTTACTCTAAGTGAATACTTTCAACTTTAATTGTGGTAGGGCCACGCAAAAGCCTTTTGTTTTGTAATTATTTGTATGAATGTCTGTTTTAGTGAATATTAAGTTGATTAATAATGCAAAATATTCAGTCTAATTGTCAGTTTATATTTTTTATTGTCAGTATTATCGACAACTTAAATAAAAAAAAAAATGTAATATTGATGTCTGACAAGTTTAGAACCGTATATGTTAGATAACTCCGTCTTTATAATACAGTTTTACTTCCCTAATTGACAAAACGAAATCGGAATCATTACAAAAATTTCAAATCTCTACAAAATTAGTATTTACGTTATGATAATTTCCCAATTTTTCCAATTTTCCTAATTTAGTTTTTTTTTCTCAGAGATAAAAGATTTTTTTTTTAGTTAGGTTCCTGTTCTATATTTCAAGTTTGTTTTGTAAGTGTTGTGTTAACCTGTAATTTAAATATGTACATATATTGTTTACGACTTTAGTATTAAGTTAAACATATTTACATTTCAATGTTCTGTATGTATTTAGTTGGTAAGCCTTAATAAATAAATAAAAATAAAAATAAAATAATAACCAAAGTTTCTATTTTCCCGTTAACTTTAATTTAAAAAAAGACAAAATTTTTGAGATCAGACACCCCACATGAGAGTGGGTGTCAAGATTAAGGGAAAAGGGAGCGGGGTGTCTATAAGTAATATTTTAAGTAAACTTGGCCGTGTTTAAAAAGCAGACATGTCTCCAGTGTTGAATGTCAATGTTGAAAGTCTATCGAATATATGTATATGATTGTAAATTACTTAAAAATACGGCGTTCATTAGATTTTTGACCGCTAAACGCCTGAATTTTGGAGTCGTTTCCATTATCAATAAAACATAATGAATATATGACTACTACTATCTGACTTTAAATGAATACTGTTGGCCTTTTTCATATGCTATAGGATTACTGATACGTTGCTACATTTTAGAAGATGGGATTGGGCTTAACTTCACGATGATCTTCTGATGGAGCTGTGATACTTCTTTGGACGAGCTTGACAGCGAAGTCTGCTTTGGAGGACTACCACACAGCAGCCATATTTAAATTAATGAGCTGAGATTGCAAACCATTCAACACCAATGACTATGCTCGATCAAGGGCATAATATTATTGTGGCAATATATATATATACAATTAATTAATATGTACACATGTGAGCGCCACAACTATAAATAAATTTTAAGAAATGATGTTGATTACAAATATTGTTACGAGAAACCTTGTTGTTAAACATAATTATTAATTCATTATATTTTTAATACATTTACTATGAAAGACTTGATAGTAAAAAGAATTCAGGATAAACTCCAAACGGGTAGAAGTACGTGTAACATCACTTCTTTCTTTACTTTTTACATTATTTTCGTGTTCCCAGATAGCGGTTGAACTGAAAGCCGCGTTTTTCTCGTCCGTTTCCCCGTTAAATTGATATTCAGAAAATTTCATTTTTTCACGTTTCATAAATTGTCTATTGAAAAAGAATACAACGATTGCCAGAAGTTTTGACCATTATATGTATATTATTATCAGTTATTTAAGAGCATTTTAAATTTTTGCGTTATTAAAAATTTTATAAAAACGTATTAAATATCATTTTTACAATATTTTTATATACACTTCTACATTGCTTATCCTTTAAAAATATACTTTATAAATGTGCATTTGATAATAGTGCAGAACCTTATGGTAATGGTAAGATTACAACATTAATATCAATGTTTTGTAACTTCATAAAGGCAGAGCTACCAGCCAATATGGATAAAATTAAAGAAACATAAAAACATTTTCCTAAAAAAATATTACGATTTCAATGTTTTGGTTTGTTTCAATATTATGTTTTGTTTACCTAATCAAATTTTAAATAAAAAAATAGTATTTTATTACAAATGTAAAAAAACATAAAACAAAATGAGTTATGTATGGAAGTAAAATGACTATGGAGTTTCCCCTACAACAAACTCGTCTAATATGTTAATTTGAGTATCCAATGCAGTATTTTGCATACCGCGAGCTTAAGATTTGTGGTTTACCCCCTGGTACTAATGTTTAGAACTTATGACAGAGTAGCGTACTGAGAATGCTAATCGTGGATACATGTTATGACTTTAACTAGCAATGTTTTAGTAATTAATATATTAGTGGCTACCTACTTTTCTGGTTAAGTTTTGTACGTTATAAGGGCCTCTAGTCCAGTATTGCACTGCTGCAGAATACTGATGACGAATCTGACAAACTGTACTGATCACAGTGTGATGGTAGATGTTCCAAATTTAACTCCAGAAATGAAAAATCATAAAGAGAGTACTAATATTTAACATTAACATTTAAAGATATTTGGAATTTTAACTCTAGTTTATTATTCATTACTTTTATCGCTATAGTATACTCTGAAATACATCTAAAAACTATTATTTATTTGATCTCTAAATCATTCAATTCTTAACTATTCATATGATTTTCTATACGTTATTATAAATAGATATTTTCATGATTAAACGGAAAACACGTAATTAGAATTTCCTAACAATACTGAGTTCCAAAATGTTGTACTAAGAGGAAACTAATTACGATAATGAAAACTGATCATTCTGTAAAATACTAAAAAAGCAAGTGTGGTTAAAGAATTAAGTGTTAATTTAGTTACGATAAGAATGAAAATTTGAATATTA